AACCTTGGACCACATTTGGCAGTTCTCTTACAGTCCTTCCTTATCAGCTTCCACAGACGCTGATATATCTACAATAAGCTTATAATGGCTCAGCAGAAACTGATATGACTGATTAAGTGTAGGTGACAGATTAAACTAGCCGCGGCTAGGGTCTGCTCCAGCTGGAGGACAGTTTGTACAGCGAGTCTGAAGCTGCTGCATGTACTTGCTCCGTATCTCACCTTATTTATATGGAATCTTAGACCATACACTATAAGCAATGGGTATAAACATATATCCATAGATACACATGGTTGCAACATTGGAGCCCTACTATTCAGATTACTACTGCTGACTGTATAATAACAGTGTAAGTCTGGTTGTTAATGGCTGTGTCCACTCCTATGTAAAATGCAGATTTCCTCTCTTTAAATGAGATCCAATTAACCAAATGTAAATCATTATTATTATATATCTATTATATTATTAAAAAAAGAAAGAAAAGAGAAGGAAAAAGCTAGAAATAGAAATTGAAACCATTTACCTAAGAAAAAACAATATGTTATGTTGAGTTGAAACTAGCGTTACTTTTGTTGTAAACAGTAGAAAGCTGCTTGGCAAATTGCAGAATTCCAAAAGCAGCAAATACTTCTACACAACAGGTGCTAGTACCTTAAAACACTACACAATTTGTAGGACATTTTGATTCAACGTCTACATCTTTTATAACATGCAAGCTAAGGCAACGTCCTTTTCTTACAAAGGATCGCTGGGTGAAACAAGAGGGTGTCTGTGAGAAATGCAATGATTTCCAAAATATCATGCAAATCAGCCAGGGATATCATGCATGCTTGGACCCAATGATGTACAATCATACAAGGACAATGACGTTCAGTTATCTGAGCTGTAGCTTTTAAGGATCTGTTTGCTCCATTTTCCAACATGGCTATAAAAGCACATCTTGATAAAGGCTGCCTTTGTTAGCACAGTGTATCCAAGTGTAGTTTGTTGGTTACAACAATCCATTAGCCATGTTCTGATGCAGAGTCCTGTGATAATGAGACGATGTCTTATGGTTGGCTGCATTTGCCTTGCCTGAATACATCCCATGAACCAACGTACCAGTCTATAGCATATGGGTGCTATAATCTGATTAGTCATACATGAAAAGAAAGACAATGTGCTTCAGTGACACGGGGCTGAGCCTGCAAATGATGAGTAACAGTCAACTAAGGTCAACGTTAAGTAAGAGTATGAAAGTAGAGTCAGAAGTGCAAGGGGTTAAAGGTTATGACTTACAAGGCCTGAAAAAAAATAAACTTGACATCCAATGACGCAAACCTACACCATAGACAGTATGTAACCTCTGATGATCTGCAGTTACAGAACACTTTAAACTCCTGAAAATGTACCATAACATTTTTCCTGAGATATTGAAGGAAGGAAGGAAGGAAGGAAGGAAGGAACTTTATTGTCATATCACCAGAGGTGATACGAATATTCAGACTGACCTGAGGGCAAAGAGTGAAGGGGTTTCCTCAGGACAGTGGTAGAGGATTCCATGTGGTGTTGTTGCCCTTTAACTGACAAGTAAATGTATGGAATTCATTCAGATGTTCTTTTTATAAAGAAACAGAGGAACAAAACAAAGAGAACCAAGAGGTAAATCTAGGGCTTGCCCTACTCACAATTCTGAGTTCAGGAATAGCTCTTGACTTATTGGCCTACCCAGCATGCCCTCTGCCTCTCTAGACAGCTCTGACATCATCATACAGCAGATGCAGACCAGGACATAAGCTGTACAGCCACAGTTATATAAGCAAACACAATGTTTCCAAGTGTTCGGCAATGCTGCCCTGCCACGAGGGAGAGGAGGGAAAGCGGAGCAAGTAAGGAGGCCAGGAAGAAAGAGAGGCAGAACAGGGTCACAAAAAGAGAGGCCCACTGGGGTCCTCACTGAGGGGAAAGACTGAATAAGGTCACCTCCACCCCCTAAAGGTGCCCCAGCAATGAGGAGAGAAGAGAAGAGAAGAGTCGACCTACACCCATGAATCAGTGAGAGCACACTGCTACTGTACTTCTACATATAATAGTTCTTCCTCACTGTTGTTGTTGATGAAGCACTTGTCTGAATGACCGTGATCACAACATACACATTTCACTATTTAAAAATGGAGAAATCATTGGAGAGAAAATGTTACACATGGTTGAATTTGTCCACAGCTAATAATCAACCCAGCCAAAACAGCAGTGACATTTAAGCTGATGTGTAATGATTGATGAAGAGCCAGCACCTGGGGCTGCTGCTGCTGCTGCTGCTGCTGCTTCTACTGATGGTGGTCTGACATAAATTTTTTTGCCCCCACTTTGCAGGCTGCTGCTGCTGCTGCTGCTGCTGCTGCTGCTGCTGCTGCTGCTGCTGCTGCTGCTGCTGCTGCTGCTGCTGCTGCTGCTGCTGCTGCTGCTGCTGCTGCTGCTGCTGCTGCTGCTACTGATGATGATCTGACATACATTTTTGTGCCCCAACTTTGCAGCATGATTTAACACTTCATGCATTTACATAATAATGGCAGAACAATACTGTGCACACTTCCATTGACTTGGGATACCAACAGTGGCCCCCAACTTTTTCTGCAGGGGTCCCCCCTTTTGTAGAGATCAACCACTCCCCCACTCTGACCGTTTGCTACAAAACACCACAAGTTTTATTTAAAACGCAGTCATTCCTTCAAAGGTGGCTTCTTATTATTGTGAAAATGGTCAAAATTCACCAATCAGATGCAAATTACAATAAAATAGATATTAATAACTAATAAATGAATTTGCCCTGCTTCGTCTGCTATAGCCCCTTGTGTGGATTGATCTATATTTGTAAATCTATATTTGTACCCTGTAACAACAGTTGGTTCTTAGCACAATTTCTGCGACAGCACTAAAATCTGAACTAGTTCTTAGACATTTTTTATGTGTATTTTTTATTCACTTGATTGTGGAAGGAACAGTTTGTTGTGAGCTAATTGTTTCCTGAGGGCAGCACATGTGTTGCTAGTTGGATGAATTCAAATCCCGCTCTAACCGACCGTCACCGTCTATCAGCACGGAGAGAGAAAGCCATGTAAAAATAATTGTCACCATTACGAAAAAACAAGCTCCACGACTGCAAAGGCTTAACGTTGAACGGTTACAATGAGTGATATAATTAGCGGTCTAATGTTGCAATGACGTTTTTTACGCACAAACAGCTGCTGATCCGCTGAGCAAAGTGTCAGCATCATGATATTAATTATGTCTTGTGCTCAATTATGGGATTATTTTCTCCAAGGTCTGAGAGAGTAAGAGAGGTAAGAGTGCTGCTGCCACAAGGGGGGGGGGGGGGGGGGGGGTTTCAGTTGTTGGCATCATAAAAAAGTGTATTTTGTGCCACATCATCTATTCCTTTGCCTTTTATTGCCATGGTAAGGCAACTGTGGGGGCAACGGCGTCTTAGAGCATCTGTGGTAATTTAATACAAAGCTCTTAATGCGACACACATTGCACTTGTGTGTGCTGATGGTATTGACAGTTCTCTGGTACACGTCAAAGTGATCAGAGCAGAAGACGAGATCGTCTGCACCCCACTGGACTTTCACTGTATTATAGTCAGTAATGCAATAAAGATGAGTCACATCTGAAGTAATGAAATCCTAATGGCAGATTCTGAGCACATCATGGGAGACACTACTCAGCTGGAAAACAAACTGTACTCTATATATGGTATTGATGCATATATATATATATATATATATATATACCAAACTAATCATTTTATCCTAGCAGAAGCTTTTATCCCTGGATGTTGTATTTCTAACAGTAGTTTTCATTTAAAGAAAATCCGTTTTGGCTCTCTCTCTTCTTCAAGAGGCTCCACAGCTGGTGATCTAAATAATCGTTTTGGCACAATGTTGCCGCCACACGTGCTTCCTGAAGCGCCTCCTGAGGTGCCTGTTTTGGCCAATTGGGATACATTCCTATTTTCTGGCTGAATTTGAAGTGGTAAGGAAAGATCAGTGGTTCTAGCCATTGTCATCTTCTAATCCTGTTCACGGTTGCAAGGGAGATGCAGACATTCTCTGTACACCCTGGACAGTTTACTATTGCATAACCAAACCATTTACACTAGCATGTATTTGTGGACAGTATAGATTGAACAATTAATTAAATTCTGCATGTTTCCGGACCGTGGAGGAAACCCATGGACACAGGCAGAACATGTACAGAAAGCAATCATACAGAAAGAACAATGGCTATCGACCTTGGTACTTCTTGCTGTCAGGCAAGACCACTATCCACTATTTCACAATGTGGCCGTTGAAGTCAATTTATCCCTGAGGATATTTCAAATCCAGTGGTGGACCAACACTTGAATTGATCATTTATTTCATAGATTTTACTGCTACTAATAAGTAAACCAAAAGTCTAGTGTTAGTATTTTTTTTGTATGTTTGTATTCTTTTGGTTTTTCTTTACCATAGAGCCAAAAATCGGGTAAGGTCTGTACGAATTCACTGTATAAAGAACTAGTTGATTACTTGTGTGTTTTTGCAACGAGTCTATCATTGCAAAAACCGCTATCAACGGCTCCCACTGCAAATATTGCGCTGTGTGATCGTTATCGATTGCATTTGTCTGGCTCAGAGTGTGCACGAGGACATGCATGGGTGGACCAAGCGCGCGCCACGGTGCAGCAGACACAGATCCAAGTTCAGGGCCCGAGAGCTGCACAAATATGAACAGTATACTAATAAAAATCGTTTTTGCTGCTGTTTTTTTCAGCAAAATACGTGCAGACACTGCCCAGGGCCACACAGCTGCAGGGGGAAAGCTGAAAGAGAGCAGGGTACAGTGAGCCGTGTGTCGCCCTGGCTGCGGCTCTGACCTGTCAAACACTGGCCGGGCTGCTGGAGCTAAGCCCCGCTGTACAACTGCACAAATACACGCTGTGGACACCGTGACTGTGAGGAGAAGAAGCAGTTTGAGCTTACCGTCCGTCAACCTCCTCCTCCTCTACCAGCAGACCCCCACTAACCACCTCCACCACCAACACCTCCCACGCGGTCCGGGGCACAAGCTGCGACTGTTAGCGCATTAGGCGGGGATGAAACTGGGTGAAAGTCAGCTGGGGCTCCGCTGGGTTTGTGGCTGAGGGTAGCGCCGGTGTTGCTGGATGGACGTTTGGCTGCACGTCCTTCCCCAATGTCTCGGTCTTGGGCACTGTCCTCCAATGCTGAGTTGCTGCTGGTCCTCGTACCGTCAAGGAGCTTCTCCCTCCTCACACGTCTCCTTCTTTCCTTCTTCCTTCTTCACTGCAAAAGCTCTGCGTGGAAAAAAAAGATTACTTAGTGTTTTTATTTTCCACGTTTCGCTGCCTTCCTCGAGCGTTTATATGGGTCGCAACGACAAGGGAAAGAACCAAAAAAGAAATACTACACGATTGCTCCTCCCTCCTGCTTGTGTACAGTAACGGGAGCCGTGTGCTGTACTACAGCCACTTTCTACAAACTATCTACCGCTCTCTACAGGACCACCTCTGTAAAGCACAGACTATACACAGACACATGACTGAGCGATCACATGTGAAATGTGGATCATCCTCCGCTGCCCTTTTTTATCCACCTCTGCATCACTGGACTCTAGCTCCCTCCCTCCATCCTTACATCCTTCCTCTGGTTACCCTTTCATCCTCCTCCTACTTTCACAGCAGTAATTCTGTGAAAGACTGGGTCGAGACCCCCAAATGGTTCATGGAGAATTACTAAAGTTACTTCAGGATATGTATGATATACTGTATGTTTAACTTGGACTATTTCTGTTTAACCTTCTGGGCATTACATTTGTTCTTTGTATGAAAAATCAATAATAAAAGTGAAGGCTCTGACCCTAAACCTGGACATGAGGGAAATATCTGCAATATCCATTGATTTGAATAGATTTACTGTATGCACACTAGTCATTTAGGAATTACATTCACTTATAATTACAATCACTTCTATATATTCATAATAGGTATCATTAGTTGTCAGTTTTGTCAATGACACTTTTTGTGTGATAAATACATTAAGTTTGGGGCATTTTGTCTCTTCTGACTTTATCCTATGGGCAAATTACAACATTTGAGCATATATGGACATGTATGTAGGATGTTTCTGGTGTTTTGTATATTTTTGTCTTATAATCATTAGTCATATTAGAAGGAAATATGGCGCCAAAGATGTTACTGCTGATGATATGACATGATGTTACTTGATAAATAAAAGTCGCCCTCAGGGATGGAAAACCACGTTGGTATTTTTGTAGCTTTCCTATAATAAAAAAACAACAAAAACATCAGTTTACCAGTTCTGATGAGTATCTCTTTACAACACAATAAGAACTCAGAACACTGCAGTAAAACATGACTGCACATGACCGTACTCATTTAATGGATATAAAAAGTGACTCATATTGTTTAATTTTTATACTCTATTCTGTGTGAGATAATGAGTTTCATTGACATTAGTCAAAATAACAGCTGCGTTATAGGAGCCTGACACTGATGTGGCCGGTCTAAAAAAGAACGCTTATATAAATGTAAGTGAACTGATTTTTATCTCAAATTCACATCAACATCTTTCTTTTCCAACACAACTCGCCTCTTTTACCATAAAGGACAAAGATATAAAATGATGTTCTGATCTAAGCAACAGCTCTGATTTCAAACACTTCACTCTGCCTTCTCCAACCGGGGAAGAAACTGTACAGTGAATGGAGCCTCCGTACACGTCTACCTGTCGAACTAATCCAGCAGGCAAATATGCAGGAAATCTCCAGGATGTGAGACTGACACCTTCTCCTGACGCTGAATTATCTAGTGGGAGTGACATTTACATTTTTGAGGTTTTCAAATGCAAAAAGGCCGGGGCTTGTGGTGCAGAAGAAAGGCATATTTTATGTGCAAATGCCACTGCGGCACATACATAAAGGATTTATTCCTTATGTATGTGCTGATGTGTTCCTTCTTTTTTTTTTTTTTTTTTTGCTGCTTGAAAAATGTCAGTGCGTTCAGGCGCACAGAACATCGTTCTGCAAAACTCTGTCACTTGATTACATGTTTGTGTCTTTTGCAGAACAATTATAGAACATTACACTTTCCAGGAAATCTCCAGTTCACCCGTTAATGACTTAAATGCAGCACAATAATATAGTATTAATTTATTAAACTATACAGCATCTTTTGACTCTTTACGTTGTGAATATGTCTGTAATTATGTCTCAGAGATCATACTGAAGCATTTCTTGTGTACTGAGTGTAGTTTGACAGTTCTATTTTACACTTAGCTCAAGCTACAGGACAAAATCAGCCACACAGCTGAGTCATATGACCCACAAACAACAATGGGATATGGACCATTATCAGCCCATATTTGGCCTCCCAAATGTGGGCTGTAACTTCATTTATTATGGGACCAAGCATGTTTCTGTGGCCAACAAAATGGCTGTGTTTTGTTTAAGTTTAACTGAAATGTGTCCTCGAAAACAGACACTCGGCCAGATGTAGGCTACCAAGGACCCTTGGAAATGTTTTATACCTACAAATTGAGTATTTCTCTAGTTGCTTTGTGATGTTTTGTGTTCGCTCTGTCTTGGGATGTTTGTTTTGCTGCTCTTGTCTTTTCTTTGCAGCTGCACTGAATCTGAAGCTGAGGAGCCAGAGCACTGATGGGCGTGGTCTTCAATTGAGGAAATTTTATTCTGAGCCATGTAATTAATCTGTAGCCCACAGCAGATTAGCCATGTAATGAAAATGAGATGAAGTTGAACACAGAGTAAAACAGCTCACAGAGAAACAGGAAGATCAGCAGACCGTACCAACACCACGGGGTCAGAAGAAGTCTCGGAACATTCCCTGTTGTTTTTTCCTCTCCACTGAATACAAGCAATTGCCTCAGATACACATGAGTAGGGTCCAGTGCAGTTCCTATATCAGGTCATGTAGATGAGGAAAACTAAACATAAACACAGAAGAGTCCAACAGGCATTTGGGTGAGTGTTCTGTCAGTGTGAGCCTGGCTAAATGTGGGACCTGTGTGCTTAGAGCATGGCTCCAGAACAGTAAGATGTTCTTTATGTCTTCACCATCATCATCATCATCATCCTCATCTTCATCTTCATTTTAATCTCCTACTTCTCCTTCCCTTCTTCCTCATTTCCATCTTCACCGTCGTCTTCATCCATTAAATCTCCATCTTCTTCTGCAGTTTCCTCCCACATTAAAGAAATGTGATGTGTGAGGGATGGATGGATTTTTTTTTAATTTACAGCTTACAAAAAGAGAAAACAGAGATGAAATCATGGCCATAACATGATAAAGAAACAGTTTTTACTGCAGTAGGTGTGTACCAGACGTCCTGCTGTCTCCTCCATTCAAAATCAGGATTTAAGGTGGTCTTGCTGCATTTTGTCTAAATGGTTTGCACTATTCATGACCAGTTCTTGTTCTTGAAACATGAAATCAAATTTGTAATATTGACCCAAACAAGCACATCATAATCATATAAAACAATTCCAGCATATCTATCTACACTTTGATTACTGTTGAATCAAATCAGGATATCCCTAAAATCCATGGCCATACATTAGAGGAGTTATTATTTAAGCACTAATCAGGAAAAGTAAAGCTCGGATTCATTAATATGCCGACCTAACGCCTCGAGACTCCGCCCCCTGCCTTGCTCTGCTCTGTTCACAATTAATCAAAAGTAATTAATCACACAGCATATAATTAATTTGATGAATCATTTTTATGGCTCGACCTCCAGCCGGCAGTTACGTTTCTCCCCTCACTTCAGATTCTTTCACAACATTGCCGCAGGAGTGTTGTATCACAAGTGTTGCTCTTTTCCAAACACTATTGAAATGATGAAAAACAAGGTGAAAAAGTCAAATGGTAAAAGGCCAGACCTTTACACAGATATACAGAAGAATACAGCCTCTGTTTTTTCCAAACACACGACTCTAAAAGAGTTTTATGTGCACACCTTGAGATGTGACACTTTCCTATTAGCCCACTGGTTTTCTCGCATGCATTATCCTTTGTCCGAATGCAAACAAATGAGAGTTAATCTAACAAATGGCTGTCAGGGTCTGATAGTGGAGCGGCCCCACTCTGAATAATGGATCGTTCCATCTGCAGCTCGGCCTGCGCTTTAATGGCAAAATACCTGGCTCAGGCCATGACAAAGTTCCTTCCTGATTGAAGTTAACGTGTTGCTCTTTGGTTCATACATACGCCGCTGTGCTAAAGGTTACGTAGCAGTGTGTTATTAATGGACTGCAAAACCCGCTTTGAGCCGTGGAATTGTGGGCTCTAAGTCTAAAAGACAGAAACTGTGTGTTGTAATGAATCAATTTAGATTTCATTTGCTCTTAATTGGTTCTAAAGCTGTAAAGATTGTAATAAAAGCGCACCTATTTACCTGATAATGTCTCTATGGTATATGTGGCTTTTTTTTAAATAGTGGGTCAGTATTATTTGTTCTTTTATTTCAACATTGTCTTTATTATGTTACTAATTTATCAAGCTTCCTCTTCAGGCACAACGTAAGCTTGACAGTAGCCTCAACAAAGAAATAAACACATCACAGTATTTTAGTGTTTCATCTTTTCATAACACAACAGTTTTCAACAGCAGCAACAAATCAGTTGACAGTTTAATTAAATTAATGCCTTACTTAATTTACAATAAAGGTGGTTTGATAGATATTTAGAGCACAACGCTGTGAACCTCTAATCTCTACCAGGCTCTGATGAAATGTAGAAATATGTTACCACACCACAGAGCTGCAATTATTTTTGATTGACGTCTGAAGGTAAATACAGCGTGAATTGCTACACCCGGCATTGCAGCTAATGACAATGTCACAACAAGAATCATGGACCTGCTCCCACACATTTAAGTGGCTGCTCTTTCTTTTATTGTCTCCTGGATTCCATTTGGATTGTTGTCTGAATCTCCGCTCATGTATCTTGTAGCTATGAAATAAATGCATGTCAAGCATCAGTCGTATAATGTTACCACTCTCCGTCTCCACAGATTTCCCTGGGAAATGGTCGTTTCACCCTGACGTGCTGGGATTTTCATCTCACTGATAGAGATCAGTTATTATTTCTCTGCTCCTCTTTTAACATTGTTGTATTTTATGTTTTGACACGGAGGATATATCAGAATATTCTGATACTCTGAGGTTTTAGACAATAGTCTGTGTTTTAAAGAAGCCACAAGATCAGAAAACCTAACCTAACTCCAACGACCCCAACAAAGGGTCTTGACAGTGTTTTCTAATGTTCTGGTACAGTTTTTGGTAATGTCCATCTATGTTCTATATACAGTATATATATATATATATATATATATATAGATTCCAGAAAAGGAATCCTTGCTTTAAATGCAATAAAGACTAATCAAATTAAACAATGTCAATGGAAATTAGTTTGAACCTTAATTAAACAGTGTGATTAACTGTAACATCCTTGGAGGTTTCTCAATAAGTAGGGTTAGGGTTAGGGTTAGATAGGGTTAGGATTGAGGTACCAATCCAACCACAAGTCAGATTTTAGTCAACAGAGACCAATTGTGGCTTAAAACATTGTTTATCAACTGATAGATTACAATAAATGTTGTTTACATTTAAAGTTATGAATATTTTTGGAAGTTCAACTAAAAATTGTATTTTTAACTATATTGATCCCATATTTGAGAAATGCTTGTGTTAACAGCAGACAGGATGCAGGCACCAAGCATGTGGTTCCTCTGGGAATCAAACCCTCTTCTGTTCCTCACACTGGTTGGCTCATGCATGGTAGCATCTCTCAGCATCTCCCCTTGTCAGTCGGCCACTCGTTCACTTTGCTCTGCATCGCCATTATCCAACTCTACTGTGCATATAATTATGTGGGGAAAGGGTAATACAGTGTAGGGAGAGTTGATAACAGTGTGGGGGAGGTTCGTAAATGGTAAATATATATACGTAAATAATATAATAACTATCTCGCCTCTACTCGGATTTTCCCTTTTCGCAGTTGGTCTTGGAAATGAACTACCGCAATAGGAGAGGGATCACTGTATAAAAATATAAAAATTGTAATTGTAAATTCAGATGTATATACATATGTATAAATATATGTATAGATATGTGCATCTATACATACACTTTATCTTGACCTGCATCTGGATTTATAGTTTAGAGTGTGCTCCAGATATTAAGTGGTAAACAACTCCATGTTCAACA